CAAAAGAAAGTAGCTAGGATTCAGAAAGCACCTCCTTTTCATTCAAATGCATAACATTTTGATATTTACAAGTAGAACCAAACACTTTATTATAAATGACAGATACTGAAGAAAATGCAAGCTGACATTCTACTACATATTTCAAACTTGAAGTTAAAATTCAAAAGAAAGTCTTTAGAAATCAAGCGTATGTTTAAATTCTTTTATTAAATTCTACTGTCTTAGCCTCAAATTTCCAATTATGGAAATGAAGAGAGCACACTCAGATAAAATCAGACAAGCACTGATAAGCACTGGCTTATTAAAGAAGTCTTTCATGATTTGAGGTCGCTTCTATTACAAAGTTTCTTTTTAAACTTCAAAACACAATTTTGAAGTAAATCTCTCCCTGCTTTCCATTCCTTAAAACACCGATCTCCATTACTCAGGAGTCCAGGCCAGCTCAGACAACACAGTGAAGAGACCCTGCCACCCTCCCCATCCTTCAGGGAAAAGGAGGGACTCTGCGGCAGGAGAGGAGAAGCAATCCCACTACTCAGGAACAAAGCATGGGTTTGGGGCCAGCCTTGACCACAAAGCTAGACCCTACCTTCAAGGGGAGGGGAGAGGAGGGATGAGGGGGAGAAACCAGCCAACCTGGGCAGTGATGGCACATGCCTTTAATTCCCATCACTCAGGAGACAGAGGCAGATCTCTGATTTCAAGGTTCACTGAGTGAGTTCCAGAATAGCCAGGGCTACACAGAGAAACCGTCTCAAAAATACCAAAAAAGGGGGGGGGGGATCAAATCTTTATTTAAAGAGTTTATGTGACAATAATTTTTTTTTATTTTTTAACAATAACAAAAATAAAATTAATCTGAAATACAAGCAGTTTTAGACATGAATGAGTTCATATTTCATATTAGTTTGAAGGGATGCTTTTGGTAAAAAGACATTCTAGCAATTTTAATATATTTTTCGTAATCCTTCATTCTCATTCGGCTACTGACCACAAGGATTAAAGCTAAGTCAGCCGGGCGGTGGTGGCGCATGTCTTAGGCAGAGACAGGTGGATCTCTGTGAGTTCGAGGCCAGCCTGGTCTACAAGAGCTAGTTCCAAGACAGGAACCAAAAAGCTACGGAGAAACCTTGTCTCGAAAAAAAAAAAAAAAAAAAAAAAAAGCTGACTAAGTCAGATATCAACAAATTATTTGGTATTTTTAATCTATTGCCATCATATGTCTATTTACATAAAACTAATTTTAATTTGTGCTTCTTTTAAACTGCAATAACGTATACCACATATAATTCCATTTGTATCAGGAAGGGAACAGGATGATCAATAAACTGAACCAATAAATAAAAGTTTTGGGAAGATTTTCAGTACTGAAATCATCCTCTATCTGTTTCATGTCAGCTGGATTTTCTGAGGGAGTGGGCTTGTGCCAAACCACAACTTTTACTGTATATGCCTTCCCTTTGGAGGCTCTCTTCTATCAGAATTAGTATATATGCTTTCTCTCTTCTGCTTATGTCAGGATTACCATGAATGCCTTCTCTCTGAGGCTCTGCTAACATTAGAATTAAAAGGGGCTCCCTGCCTATCCGCAGAAGGGAGTGTTTGCCTTTTGTCATGCGCCTTCGGCCCTTTATAATGACCAAAGGACACAATATTGCAGATTTGTTACATTCTTTCCCCTTTTAAAAGACAGCTAACCAGGGCTGGAGAGATGGCTGAGAAGTTAAGAGCATTGCCTGCTCTTCCAAAGGTCCTGAGCTCAATTCCCAGCAACCACATGATGGCTCACAACCATCTGTAATGGGATCTGGTGCCCTCTTCTGGCCTGCAGGCATACACACAGACAGAATATTGTATACATAATAAATAAATAAATAAATAAATAAATAAATAAATATTGAAGCCCCCCCCCAAAAGACTGCTAACCAAATACCAAATATTCTCCACCCCAGTACTAGAGACTGAACTAGGCTTTCCACACTTGGCAAGTGTTTCAGTACTGAGCTCCTGCCCCAGTCCTTCGTCATTCAAACATACACGGCTTAGAATGCATAAGACAAAGAGGAAAACAGAAAGATCTAAGAGGTGGCTTCTGTAGTCTCCAAGGGGATTTATAGAGGACTGACATGGAACAGGAAATGACTAGTGTCCTGGAAGCTAGAGTTCAGTAGAGATTATCCCCTGTAACTGGAGTTAGGAAAAAGGAATTTTCAGTGATAACTTGATATGCAAGGAAGGGGCAGAGCAAGACTCTTGGAAAAAGAAAACAAATACAAAGACTGTAAGCAGGGTTTGGGAAAATGGTGCAGTTGGCAAAGAACATATTCCAAGGACCTGTGTTATCTCCAATACCTATGTAAAAGCTGGGATATCTGTAACCCCAGCCCTGGGGAAGCAGACAGGAGACCCCTTGAACCTCTGGGCAGACAGCATTGTCTAACCTAAATCCCAGAGATCCTGTCTCCAAACAACAAGGTTATGGCACGTAGGCAATGACATCTGAACAACTATGGAATGACATGTGCACACACATGAACACACACAGGCAATAACAACTGTTAGCCTCAGAATACCTTATAACACCAACCATAAAGGAGTGGGGAGGGCTTCAGAAAATTGGGTGTAGTGGCTCACACCTGTAATCCCAGCATTTGAGAGGATAAATCCTGGGCTCCTATTGACCAAGATCAAGGACAGCCTGCATATTTTAGCAAAATTTTGTCTCAAATTAATAAAAAATAAAAAGAGACTGGGACACAAATCAGTAGTGTTTGCTGAGCATGTGCAATCCTGAGCTAGGTTCAATCTGGGTAAGCTACTAGGGGAAGTGGAAGAAGAGCTGAAGTCAAAATGCATAACAATCAAATATTCAAGTATTTTTACCTTTGAACATTATCATTCAGTCTAGCCATTGGAAACCTGATGTACAAGGAACTTCCTAAACAACATTGAGAAATGACACAATGCCCTACTCAGAGAAATCTGTTTCTCTCTAACAGTTAAGGTATGGGGAAAAAAACTAATTCCAACCAAAGCTTCATGAACTCACATCAATCACCAATTCCTTTGGGGGATTTACATGTCAGTGTAATTTGCAGTGTGGTTCCCTGGCATTTTGTTCTCAAGCCTACAAATGCAGCTAATGTGACCCCTCCAGCTGCAGCTTCCTTCCTGCATTTCTGAAGCTCTGGTATCTACACACTTACAGCTCTGTTCTACCGCACACAAAAGACTGGCGATTGGCCAAAAAGCTTCTGCCACTCCCGGGTGCATTCTCCACCAAGGTTCAAGATTTTCTAATTCAATTCGGCCATGAAATGATGCCTACTACTTTTGCATGCTACAGCAATGTAAAAGAAATTAAACTCCAATGTCAAGCTAACAAAAATGCAAAGCCAATAAAATATATAATAGATGTTCTTATAGAGGCCTATGAAATAATTTCAACCCATTAAGCTGATCCTTGAAATTTCCTCAAAGATTTGCCATTTCCTCAGAATTTTACCAATAGCAAGAAAATCACCAGCAAGCTTTTTACAGCATACAGATCCAACTGTATTGACAAAGCTCCCTTTTGAGCATCCCCATGCACACTGCTGACTGGAATCAAGAGCGAATGCTGTCAGCACCTTCGCCACACTGGTTGATATGACCTATGACTGTGATGGGGAGATAAGACATTCAAGAATGACCTGAATTTCTGCTGTCACTAAAGCAGTGGTTATAAACACAGAATACATAATTCTGTAAGTCAAGAAGCTGTACCATTCTAATATATAAAAAGGGGCAGGGATTAATGGAGGGCTAGGATATGACTTGGGGTAGAATCTTCTATAAGGCCTGGCCAGGTTCAAGCACCAGCAGCAACCTGGCTAATGCTTAGTTGTGGGAGGAAGGAGTATTCCACACTGCCCTGGGTCTCGGAAAACACTATTACTGAATCTGCACCCATCTCTAAGCTTCTTCTCCCTTCCGCTCTATCATTCAAGTACCAAAGAGTAGTTGTTAAACCTTGAACAGACATGTTCAATAGTCAAATTTTAACTATGCTAAACCTGTAAAACATTAAAAGGCATGGAAAAGCACTAGTCTAATTTTCTTCCTTTCGCTGGACGTCTCCCTACAGTTAGTTACAGACAGCATGCCCTTCAACAGAAAGTGTGGGTCTCGGAGAAACCCCTGGAAACAAGTGTGGTGACAGAAACTCAGCACTCAGGAGGCTGAGGGAAGAGCCAGCCTGGGTCACACAGCAAAATCCTGTCTCAAACATCTCACCAAAAGCAAGTCAACAAACGAGGATATTTGGACTTTAAATATCCATTTCTGATCAATACTGCCTTCATGTAACATTCAAGGAATATTTAGTAAATACAAATAAGACTAGAAGGGTCTTCTAAATGCCCCCCCACAAAGTCAGCAACTCTAAGAATTGAAAGTAAAACAACTGAAAAACTGTTCATCATAATTTATGATCAGGTAAAAGAAACTGCTTCACACACAAGTTAAAACTGCAAATTCCAGTTTCTCTGCATATACTGCATGGGAAGGAAATTGCTGAACATTACTCGCAGCCTGAATAACTCACTCCTAAGTAGCCACAAAAAACTGACATGACTTTACTACCATTTACATGAAATGGACATGCACATTATATTACAAGGATACAGCAAGGCTCCCAAACTATACTTTTTGGACACAGGATCTAGCTTTGTAGCTCAAGATCTTGCTCAGCCTGCAGAATGCTAGGGATACTGGCATACACCACCTGGCATGGGTATCTCCAACCTCCTCTGAAAGTGTAAGATACTTTACAGGGGAAAACAGCCTGAAATGCTGAGCTGGTAACACTAAATTCTTGACATTTACCTCTCGGGAAGTAGAAGAAAATAGAACCACAATGAGATAAGGAAGACTATCAAAACAATCTTTCAAACAAAGAAACTTAACTTATAAGAACACATTTGTTAAGACAATGCCATCTCCAGAAAATATCAACTTACCAGTATGTGCTGTAGCTACTGCAATCCATACACACTGTATGCTGAGCTTTCTCTTGCTTTTCTGACCTCTTATGGTTGGGCAAGGTTATCTGTGCATCTTCATAATGTTTTTTTGCATGGCCGTTCACATACCTTACAAAGTCAAATGAAATTTTTATTTTAATTTAAATATTGCTTTTAAAAGTAGTAAAAGATGATGAAATTGTTAACCAAATTAAAGTGAGAACTCTTGAAGAAATGAGCCATGTGGTGAATTATTTATTTAACTACTATTTACATTACACTATTAACTTCTATGTTGATGCTTTCCCTATAGCTTTTTCTTATTAAGATTTTTTTTTTAAAAAAATCCTAACACCCAGCTTGAGTTATTATTAAAAAAATGAGTAAAGAAACTCTATAGACAAAACTAATCAACTTTCTTTCGCAGGGCCATATGCTGGAGTTGCACCTACAATGTGAAAGTCAGTAAGGCAGTTTCTGCTCTCCTGGATATGACCTTTCCTCTGAAGGCCTCATCAGCGACACTCATAGAAACACATTTGTTTAGAACAATCCAAACAAAACAAAAATCAACTTATGTTCAGAAAAACAAATTTCTCCATGTGAACAAACAGCCAACAGTTGGTTGTATTCCTATCAGTTTTATGGCTCTCCAGGAGTTTTGTTTGTTTTTTGATAACAGGGTTTCTCTGTGTACCCCTGGCTGCCCTAAAACTCATTCTATAGATGAGGTTGGTCTCAAACTCAGAGATCCATATTCCTCTGCCTCCCGAGTGCTGGGATTAAAGGTGTGCACCATCATCACTCAGTCAACTCAAGCTTAATAAACCATGTTTTATTGTGTTTATTGATGGGGGAGGTTCCATGCCATGGTGCACAAGCAGAAACCAGAATATGATCCCTGGGAGAAGGTTCCCTTCTTCCCAAGTGGGTCTACCCAGGGGGGGATCAGGTTTGGTGGCAAGTGACTTTACCAATTAAGCCATCTCGCCAGCCCTCACAAATCATTGTATTACAGCAGAACTGTAACAAAGTAAACACCCGTATGCATGTTGCACCCAAATGCATCTACAGTTTTCCCAGACTGTGGAACACTGTCCCTGACCTCTACTAGAAAACCCTTAGGACACAAAACATCCCAGTTCTTTGAAAACAACCAGTCTGCAGAAGACAGGAATTACTTAAAACCTCAAGTGGTGAAACAAACATTGGATCACTGGCACCAAAATAAACAGACTAAGCAAGCTGGCAGTTTTTACTGTAAGGTGCCACAGTTGCTCAGGGAGCTGCACTTACCTTGGGGTCGGAGAGTGGTAGTATGTAGGCTCAAGTACAGCCTTCTCTACATTCCAGGAAAGCTTATACCCTTAACATCAACTCAGAATTCAATCGTTCTTTTTTTTATACCTTTTCCCCCTAGACTTTAAAACCATAGATCCTCTGTCTCCAGAAGTAGATTTAGTTTTAAAATAAAATAACAATTAAGGGTACATGCTTAGAAACTAGCCTTTCAAAGTCAGGCCTTTCACACACTAGCCACAGAAGTCAGTAAGTAACCTTTCTGCACTTTGTTTTCTCACCTGGGTACTGGGCAATTATATTAAATAATCCTGACTCAAAATGAGTGTGTGTGGTTACTTCATTAGCAGTTCCCTTATACATTTAACTACTGTTTACTCAGAATAATAAACCAATAACTTAGAGACTGGGCCCATGAAGCACTACTGATAGCAGTGTGTTGCATGCTAGGAGCACTTGCTGTTTAACTGAAAAGGAGCTCAGGAACCTCCTTCATATGCTATCTTTCCAGCGCACACCATGAAGAACAGGAATGAAGAATGCCTTCACAACAACAATGAATGGTATAAGCACTACAGGGCTTTGGAAACTGATCCTCTCTAAACAGTACACACAGAGAAGATGTTCGGTTATAATACTGCGGTTTCCAAATGTCCTCTATATTTAAACTGTTCCTGTGTGACCGAAAACAAAGGAGACTGACATCTGTGCATGAAGATATCACGGTGAAGCCCAATATACTAACTAGAAATTTTGATAAAAGAAGTAAAATTAAATGTCCCTATAAAGGTCAGTGATAAAAGTATAATTATTGAGGGATGACATTAAAATTAGCAATGTTTTGGCAATTTCTGAAACACACTAGTCAGAAGTTAACAGTATAAAGCTAGATTACATAAAAAGTACTTCCACGGTGGGCGGTGGTGGCGCACGCCTTTAATCCCAGCACTTGGAAAGCAGAGGCAGGTGGATCTCTGTGAGTTTGAGGCTACAGAGCGAGTTCCAGGACAACCAGGACTACACACAGAGAAACCCTGTATCCAAAACTCAAAAAAAAAAAAAAAATCTAAACTTGAAATTGCCTTTGATTACAAATAATCCACCATGCAGAGTCTAGAAAATTTCAACTTACTTTTCCAAAGCCCAGAGAACTGTTTGTTGCTTCCTATTTGTCAAGAACATTAATCTTTCCCCCTTTTTTCCCTCAAAATATCCTGCTCTTTCCACTGGCATACGACTGTCCACATTTAGACACGGTACACTCTGCTCCATCTAGAGGAGTCGTATCTACTGCATTATCATCCTCACCTCTCAAAGCTAGGAGGAGTACACCTCTTCAGTGCAGAATCTAAGTGCTTCTACTTATCTTTTTAAAAAATTATCTGTACAAAGCATTTTCGGACTTCCCAGATCCTGGAGATTTTGAAACCACAGCAGTCACAATTAAGATACACAACATTTTTCCAAAGGTACTCATAAATGTTCATGGCAAGGATACAATTCCAGCACTCAATGAGAAAAATCAAGATATTTGAACAACAAAAATGTTTTCTTCATGCAATGTGGATTTAAAGTAACAATAGGGAAATATCCCAAATAAATACAAATTAAATCCCTATGATTTAGCTGATTGCGACTACTGAAAGATATTCGAAGTAGACCTTCCCCCTCCCCACGCACACCTTTTTCTTTCTTTTTTGGGAGGGGTGGTTAGTTGGAATTTGTTTGCTTTATTTTTTGAAAGATTTCTTTTTGTTTGGTTGGTTGGTTTTGGTTTTTCAAGAGGGTTTTTTTTTTTTGGTAGTCCTGGCTGTCCTGGAACTAGCTCTGTAGACCAGGCTGGTCTCAAACTCACAGAGATCCGCCTGCCTCTGCCTCCCAAATGCTGGGATTAAAGGCGTGCACCACCACTGTCACGCTCAAAAATCTCACCCTTTACTTTAGACTGTCTGGGAACTCACACTCACAGCAGTCCTCCTCCCATGTTGTTAGAATTACAGGCATGAGCTATCATGCCTGCCTCTCAGACCAGATGATTTCGGCAGGAGAAATGTCCTTGTGTTACAGTTAGAAGTAGTTATTGAAATATCTAAGTAATGGCATTTTGTTTGCTTTTTTGAGACAGGGTTTCTCTGTAGCTTTGGAGCCTGTCCTGAAACTAGCCCTTGTAGCCCAGACTGGCCTCGAACTCACAGAGTGAGTGATGGCATTTTAAAGCCAACAATTGGAAGACATACTTAGGACTGAAATGGGAGCTATTGAATCTACATGAAAGCAAAATGTTGTTTCAGTTTGGTTTGATTTTTAAGCAGGGTCTTATGTAACTAAGGATAGCCTATAATCCAGACTGATCATGACCAAGGATAATCTTAAAACTTTTGATCCTCCTGCCTCTACCTCATGAGAGCTGGAGCACAGAAATAACCACCACACTAAGTGTTGTGCAGTGCTGAGAACAAAACCCAGGGTTTCATTCATACCAACAAAGTGCTCTTCTAACTGAGCCACATCCCGTCTCAGAGGCAAACTATTTAAGTGAAATATTTGGTATATCTCAGGCAGGAGTAAGTAATACACAGGCCACTTCCAAAGGTAATTCCATCATCTGTAAATATTTCATTCTTCTTAGGATTTTCTCCCCCAGAAAAATCTATCTGGAATTTGATTCAAGTAAATAAAGAAAGTAGAGAGGGCAGATAACAAGTGGAACAAGACTGGCTTCATGCTGATTACAATGACATAATGAAAACATGGGAATCAAGTAACTATTTGAAGTGGGCTTAAATCTTACCCTACTAACAAGATTTTAAAAAACTCATTTGCTAAACTTTTGTTTCAAGATTTAAGTGTCCTTATTTGATTTTCTCAAGCAAACGTTACTAGTAGGTTGTCTAAATCACCAAATATTAATTCTGCATAAAAGCATAAAATCCTCCTAGATTTTCCCTTTCTGTATCAGACAACAAAGTGTTCAACCTGAGAGCACCACAAAATGGCATGCTATGATTAACAAAAGTATTAAATACACTTTAATATAAAGCTTTCAGGCAAATTTTTTAAGGCAAGTAGAGTAATAAATAATAAATGTTACGTACCTTCCACAGTGGACACTTGAACAAGTCAAACAGACCCAAGGGCTTTTGTTGGACCTGCACACTAATAAAAAGAAAAACACAACACAGCATTTGGATTGTGTTATTTCCCATTGTTCCCCAATTCCTAGTGGTATCCTGGGATTATAAATGACCGTTGCGCAGGTGTTTTGAGGTCAGGAATCACACCTGAGGAGTGAGCTTACACAGATGGCTGTGTACCTAAAATTCTATCAAAAAGAATTTAAATTAACACCCATGATGTTGTACATTTTAACTGATTCAACTAAAATGGCTTAGCCACAAATTAAACATACATACACATGTTCCCTTTATTACTTATTCTCCTTTGCAGTATTGCAAAAGGTTAATAGGCTGGTTTCCCATTAAAAGCATCTGGTACTTTTTTTCTAAGTCTCTTTTAATCACTTATCTTTGCCATTTAGGACATATATAGCTGTAAATAGCAACTCTTCCTTTATTTAGTTAAGAGGAATAACCTTAAGTCACAGTTAAGACTAATCCTAGTTCTCTAAAAATATTTTGCAGAAAACATGACAAATGAAATGTTCTTGATGATGGTGTATGTAAGACAATTATCTTCATTGAGTGTTACAGCTATGAAGTTAGAATTTTAAAGTTTAAGTTTAAAAGTGCTACAGTTTTGAAGTGTTGATTACAATTTTTTGGTGGGCTGTTATGACTCAGCAATAGGACATTTGCCTAACATGCTGAGTCCTGTGTTTGATTCCCAGCAACTCATTTCAAAAACCTGTTTTTCATTTCCTCATTCAATTACCCAAAAGTCCAACATGTAATAAGAAAAATTTAACTCTCAATCACTTTAAGAATAGAACAGGTCATAACATGAAAGCTTACTTCATGTTAAGATCTTACCAGTTGGACAGTGGTGGTGCACGCCTTAATTCCGATACTCAAAGCCAGAGGCAGGCAGATCTCTGTGAGTTTGAGGACAGCCTGGTTTACAGATCAAGTTCCAGGACAGTCAGGGCTACAGAGAAACCCTGTCTCATAAAAAAAAAAAAAAAAAAAAATTCTAGCATGCCCTCTAAAACCTAACATTTGTAAAGTGGGCTAGAACTAGGGGGAAATGCACTCACATCGCCTCCTTCATAAATGAAACCTTCCAATTTTACTTTCTACCTCATCTTCTTAAAAGGCTTAAACAAGGACTGGAGAGATGGCTCAGCAGGTAAGAGTACCCACTGCTCCTGCAGAGGACTCAGTTCCCAGCACCCACATGGCATCTCATAGTGATCTGTAACTAGTTCTAGGGGATCCAACACTCTCTTCTGGCTTCCAAGAGCACCAGGCATGCACATGGGTGCACAACAAACATATTACATAAACATAAATAAACCTTTTCCGATGATTTTCTTATTTATTAAAATAATACAAATAGTTTATACAGCATGAAAACACAAAATTTCATAAAGCAATAGTTGTATTTGTTTCATGGGTCTGCACCTCTTTTTAAAAGAGAAATTATTGTTAACCTAAGGGAAACAAGAGGTTTAACCAAAGAATAAGTGCTACTATAGTATCATTTTCGCCCAATGATTTTCAGATGTGTTTCCCACCTTCCATCATCTGAGGCAAGCATTCTACCTCACTGCCTATAAGTAACAGCGCCTCACTACAGCAGGAGGGCTGTGGAGGGGGTGAGAAGTACTTAAAATCACTATTCAAACTACCACAAACACTGATGCAACTGGGAAACACAGAGCTTTACCCCCATACACAATCTTAAACCTGAAACACTCTAAAAATTTTAGTAACCCAAACAATACCCTTCTTCAAAATAAAGGTCATTTATAGTAATCTGATGTTTCTATAGCACCCATTGTTATTATGGTGCCAGAAACTATTACAACTTTCATGACTATCACCTCATTTAACCCTTTACAATCCCAGAAGGTAGGAACTATACTCAAAAAAAAGGCATGAGGAAGTTACACTCGGGTTCATACGGTACTGAGAAGTAGGTCTAAAACATGCTATTTTTCCATGTCTTACTGCTTAGTTATTCGCTCATGCTGGCCCCAAATTCTCAATCCTCTTGACTCATCTTCCAAAGTGACTTACAGGCTTAAGTCACCACAGTAGGAAAGCCATGTTTTTGGTTGCTGACCCTTATTTTGTGTTTGTAGACAGTATCTCATTGTGCTGTCCAAATTAGTCTAGAACCCCTCCCTGGGCTTATTCTCCTGCTCAGCCTCCAGAGTAGCTGGAACTGTGCCAAAGTATCACATCATTTGGCTTCACTTCTGTTTTTAAAAGACACCTTCACTATATGGGGCTTAACTTTTGGGGCTGGGGAGATGGCTCAGTGGTTAAGAGAGCACTGGTTGTTTGTTCTTCCAGAGGTCCCAAGTTCTATCCCCAGCACCCACATGGTTGCTCATAACTCTCTGTAACTTCCCATTTCCTGCTGAAAAACACCAATGCACATAAAATAAAAATAATTTTAAAAACTACATGCTTCTGCATCTGCACCTGCAAAGAAATCATTTTAAAGTCTGGACAGATAGACAGTAATGTTAGAAACAGTTATATAATATAGGCAGTGGCACACGCCTTTCATCCCAGCACTGGGGAAGCAGAGGCAGATGGATCTCTGTGCTTGAGACCAGTCTAGTCTACAGAGGGAGCTCAAGAACAGCTAAGGCTATACAAAAAACCCTGTCTCAAACCCCCCCCCCAAAAAAAAAACACAGTGTGGGGAATGGAGACATAGGAACCTGCTCTCACTCTCAACTATACTGTCTGCAGTATTTCAAAATTACATTTCTTCTCTCATAACAAATTTAATGTTCTAAATTTAAAAATATTGACACTCTAAATTTACACTAGCAGACATAATTTTTAAACATTAGTAGTAAATAAAAACCTGAATATTTTAACTATGGATTTGTAAAAATATAATCAAAGTATTTAATATTGAAGCATGTGCACACATTCCATATAAAATCCAAAGTAAAAGTACTATCCTCTTAAAATTTAAGGATAAGGAGCATCATTCATTGATGTGGGAGGGTCTTCTGTTTTGTGTTGATTTCATTGGTTAATAAAGAAACTGTCTTGGCCCTTTGATAGGACAGAGTAAACAGAACAGAATGCTGGGAGGAAGTGAGGCAATCGCCATGCCTCTCCTCTCTGGAGAGACGCAATGAAGCTCCAACCCAAGATGGACGTAGGCTAGAATCTTCCTGGTAAGCCACCACCTCGTCATGCTACACACATTAATGGAAATGGGTTAATCAAGATGTAAGAATTAGCCAATAAGAGACTAGAACTAACAGACCAGGCAGTGTTTAAAAGAATACAATTTGTGTGTTGTTATTTCGGGTGTAAAGCTAGCTGGGTGGCAGGGCGCAGCCTGCAGCTCCTCACTACAATTCATCATAAAGGGTCTATAAATATAAGTAGAATTATGATGCAGACTAAGCCACTCTCCTGGAAATTAAGAGCCAGGCATGTAATGCTCTATAGCTATTATGTTTCCAGAGAACAAAATAGCATGAAGTTCTTAGAGCACCAGGAGGCAGACAGGGCCAGAAGAGTTAGCCAGGGAAGACTGGAAAGGACTGAGTGGAGACCGATCCAGGGAGAAGAACAAGCACGTAGACATGCCAGGCAAAGATTCAAGGGAAGACTGCAGAACCAAGCACTCAGGGCCGAGGTGAGAAAGACAGGAAGCACAGCTCAGTCTTCTCCTTGAAAACCTTCCCCATGCTTCTCCTTTTACCTTTGTCCTTTTCTTCTTCCAGGCTGGCAATCAGTCTCTCTCGAATTATTAGATAAGTAAATTACCCATTAGTAAAGTCGCTTAAGCATTTGTTATAACAGTTTTCCCTTTCTGATTAATTATTCTGTGGTTGTTCCCATTAAGAGTTCTCGCCTCTCATTCCCTGATTCTGGGACTGCCCTGGGCACCTGAAAATGACAAAGTGATTCCATGCAAATCCAGTCTTAAGAAATCCATCACTTCCTCTTGCTATTGTTTGGAATGCTAGCTCAAGAGGAGACTGGCCACCATGTGAGAAGTTTTACTACTGAAAGAGACATACTGTAAGCCTACACTGAAGGGGTCAGAGGAAATGACATTATGGGAGCATAGAGGAGCAATCATTTTCCCAGAAACACATCAGTTAAGATGTTCTGACTACAGATGCTCTGCCTGATGAAAACTAGACAAGTGTCTTCTGACTCACGACTGTAAGCAAAGCACACAGCTTTTTAGAATTAAAAAGATACAGTGATGGATGACCACCCAGCAAGCAGTATCTTCCATTTGCCAATCAGGTCAACAGCATTCCTGGCACTATTAGTTAAGTGAGAAAGGGAGCTTTAAGGAATTCCACCAAAAGGAATGAAGCTGTCCAACAAAGGCATGAGAAGCAAGTGAAGGTTAAGGCATTGCAGTCTATCTTGAACTAACTTGCTTTCCATTGGAGATCTTTCTGTACTGAACAGTATTATACTCAAAAGCTCAATGTCACAGTGTTCCCAGCCCTGAGTGTGATTAATTCTTAGTAAGTACAAACATTACTGATGTAGGATTCCCCTCTGTATGTCATGTTTTATTGCCACTGGTTAATAAAGAAGCTGCTTTCAGCCAATGGCTTAACAGAATATAGCCAGGCTGGAATGGATGGATAGACAGACAGACAGACAGACAGACAGTGAAGGTAGAGTCAGAGAGAAGCCATGTAGCCACCACAGGAGACAGACTGCCTCTGCCAGAGACCGCTGAAACTTTGCTGATAGGCCACAACCTCATGATGATGCAATTTTTTTTTGTTTGTTTTTTGAGACAGGTTGGCCTTGAACTCACAGAGAGCCACCTGCCTCTGCCTCCTGAGTGCTAGGATTAAAAGCATGCGCCACCACCGCCAGGCTGGTGATGCACAGATTAATGGACATGGGTTCGTTTAGGATAAAGTGCTAGATAGCAATTCACTTAAGCTATTGGCCCAACAGTATTGCAATTAATATAGTTTCTGTGTGTGATTATTTCTGGTCTGGGCAGCCGGGAAATGA